CAAAGGCAGAGCTCAACAGAGCAGTTGGTAGTGCACATGAGCAGCGCCGCGGGCCACCATTTTCGACTCACTGCCCAGACGTGAACAGAAACCTCGTGACCCAAGTTCCCACCCCCTTGTGCGCCAGTTGCATCGCACTGACAGCGTTGCCGGGCCCCTGCCTTTTCCGCAATATCCCAAACAGCGTTCAGCGACAAACGAATCTAATCTTGTCCTCGGAAGCAACCAACGCCTCCGCTGTTTCGACACACTGGACCAACATTGGCTTCCCCGCCCTCTGGTCCAACTGATCCACCATACGATGCACCGTGGCTGGTTTGATGAACCCCGTCCAAGGGGCAGGGGAGGGGGGTCGCGGCCCCACCAGCATCAATTGCGTCACTTATCCGCAAGCCAAATCACAAATGAAAGGCGCTGACGCACACTCCTCCCACCCCCCGGACAGTCAAAGGCTGTACTGGCTCGACCGCCATGCGTACGACCGAACGTACCAGCCCAGGTGACTGCGCGGCCCCAGCGGCCACACGTTCCGCCGGCTCGCCCGCCCCGTCTCTATCGCCTCCATCAAGCGCCCAATCTGCGGCCGATCAATCAACCCGTACTTTGGGCGCTGTACCGCAAGGGCTCCCAAGGAACACAGCCCCACAGGAGCAGGCAACCACGGCCGCGGGCCCCCCCCCCTCCTCCCCCCTCCCTGACAGCCAGAGGCACGAACAGGCAAGGAGCCACTTCCCCACGTCGCGAGCGAATCTCACCTTCGCTGTCGCAGTCCGGCATCCTGGCCTTGGGCAGCATCGGCGCCAGCACGCGCCAGAGGTTGGCCTCCACGTAGTTCGCGGCCGCGAGGCCCATGTGCCCGTCGGCCACGCAATACAGCGACCACGCGGGACCGTCCTGGGATGCGCTCAGGCCCTCCGCGGCGAACACGACGTCCTGCGCCCACGCAAGCGGCGCCCCAGCAATACCATCAGCTTCTCGTCGATGACGCGTCAAGGGCGGTCGGGCGCCCGACATGCGTTCCCGCCTGGTCGGGCCGGGGGGTAGGCGGGCGGGCGCGCGTCGTGCCTCCCACCCTCGCCTGGCACTCCAACGCCGTGCCCGGCGACAAGGCGCGGGCGTCGCGGCGGCCCGTTCAGCCGTCGCGATGCCCGCACGAGAGGCCCATAAGGCCCCTCAGTGATGAATCAGGCAGGAAAGCCGCGTGCGCGGGGCGCAATCACGGAGCCCGGCTCCCGACGCGGCTCCGGGGAGATCTTATCTGTTGGCGGGGAGCTCCGGCGCGCGGGGGGGGCCGGGATCTGGAGCGAGCGACGGGCGGCTCACCCGCTTTCGACCCTCTGGCGCTGGGGGCTTTGCCCGATGCAGCAGCCCTCTCTTCCGCGCCCGCATCGCGATGATTTGGCCGAATGGGGTCCGCGTCAGCCGGCGGGCCGCCCCACCGGGATCTGGCACGCGCCCTTGGCCGCCAACCGCTGCCGCGCGTGGCATGATGGAGGTCGCCGATTCATTCGCTGACACCCAGGGAGGGAGGGGGGGGAGGGGCGGGGGGCGGTGTGCCTACCTCGTTGCTCAGGCGCTTTTGACACGTAGAGTGCTTGAGGGCGGGGGCCCCAGGCGGCGATCCGCGCGGTCGACCCGACGGCGAGCGCGGGCTGACGCGCTGGGGCGCAGGCCCGCCGCTGCAGTCACCGCCACCGCCACTGCCCACGCCGGCCATGGCGCCAGTCCCCTGCGCAATCAGCGCTGCGCGGCTTAGAGCGTCCAAAGCGCAACCGAAGTGGACAATCGCTCAGGGTGTGGGGGTTGGGGGGGGGCAATCAACAGGGCGGGGCAGAAAGGTCATGGCCCCAGCGGTGGCTGTCATCAGGGCTTTTGCCGCTTCGGCTGAGTGCGCCTCGACGGGTTGGGACGGGATGAAGGGGCTGGGGCGCACCTGGATGGGGTGGTGGCTAGCCCGGGCGGTGGCTCGCAGCGCGTCTGGCGCGCCCGGCGACCGGCGCCGTCGGCAGGGGTGCCGTCGGGTGGCGCAAACTCGCGGGCGAGAAGGCGACGGCCCACGGGCGCCGGCGGTTTTATGGGGATGGGGCCGTGCCGGTACGACCGGGCACGGGGCCCGTGTACTCATTGCTCGTTGGCCGGCATAGGTCATTGCGTCGGGACGGTTCTGGTGCGCACTCGATGGGAGTTCATTTTCCGTTTGATAATACACACGGGGCTTGAGCATGTACAAAGGGAGGGGGGGTGGGGGGGGACGCGCATGTTTGTCGATTGAGCGGTGACTAGCAAAGGGATGACGGCAGCGAATGACTTGTGTTGGACTCCCGTCGGTGTCGGTCCCAACTGCGACCATTCGCGCCAGACCAGGCACAGAGTCGACGGCCGGGTGGCGCCCGCGGCCAGGGGAATGGAGGGATCCGTGTTTGGATCCGCGGGAGCGCCGTCAAACGACGTGGAAAGGCGTGCTTGTGGATAGGGTGACGCAATTTGGGGACGCGGTGCGAATTCTAGCCGGGCGTCATCCGGCGCCGAGGGACGTGTGCCTTGGTACCGCGGAGCGTTTCAGCCCTCCTCATTTTGAAGGGGAGGCCCTTCATTCAATGTTGGCCGCTCGCTCGCAGGCAGATGGTGATCGAGCTGGTGACGACGCTTGATGCCCCTTCAAAGATTGCGCGATGGACGGCGGCTGAGGATTTGCCGAAGAGCGGAAACGCACATTTTACACTGCATTAACTACGGTAGTTTACTGTAACGAAGTAATGGTAACCTTTTGTACCTTCTGTTGACGGATTTTGATCCCTGAACATTACAAGTTGGTGTTTTTGCCAGAATGATTTTGAAAAGCCGGAATTATTGCAGTAAGGATGAAGAATTTCGGAGTTGGACAAAGAGCTAGAACGTTGGTGGATGTTTATGTCGATGGCTGCTGAGACCCTATCGACAACAAGGCGAGGAAATAGGTGGGCCAAAAGAAGTGTGCATCATTTCTGCATGTCACTTGCTAATTTTTATTGTGTGCGCGAACCAACAGTTGCAACTTACCAAGTGCTCATTTAGCATCCAGCATAGGTACGAATGTTCGTGGGGTGGCAGCAGCGAGCCCAGCAAGGGCAGAGCATCGAAGGAAATAATCTTGGCAGCCAAGCAATTGTTCAATCTGTTTGGGGTTAGCGACGGGGGCCGAGAGTGCTGAAGAGGATACTGAACACCTGCACCCCGTGTGTTGAACAACTGCACTGGACACATTAACAATATTATTATCGACAACAGCAAGGATTTCTCGATGCCTATGACGTCATTTGGCCAGATGAGGCCATCAACGTGTCCCCAACAACTTTGGGAATGCACTTGGCGAAGCAGCTGGTGCAGCATCCAAATCTGGATAACAACCTCGCCGACATGCACCATCAGAATCTCTATATGGGAGGTGCCAGTGCCTGTTTCATATCTGGCCCGCATCTTTCTGTCGAACCCTGGCCGATGCCCAGTGTGAACGGGCAGACTAACGTGACTGTCAGGGACTCTGGTTAAGTACAGATGGTGGACAGCAACAATGGACAGCGTTACTATCTCGGCCAGTGTGCGAGTTGGGTAAAAAGAGGAGCCGTCACCAGAAATAAGGAACAAGGACGAAGCATCGGGAAAATCTCGAAAAATTGAAACCGCGCCATGCTGAATGGACACAGATCCAGGCTAACATCATAATCAAATCGTGACGACAGGGCATTCTTGGTCATCGACGTCTACCAATGCCTAAGCACCCTTTTGTCTGCGCTTCTTTGGTGTGCTGCTGGATGTGGCATCCAATACTTTACAAACTTCCACCTCCATGCCAGCTGCGGTCAGGGCAGCTATCCATGCCCTCTGCTGATCTGACAGCCGGTCCCTGGGGCCCTTGACCTCTGCGAGCTTGGCCCTTGTAGTGGAAGGATTCCACAGCAACAAGTCGGGCATGCCACCTGCATGATAACAGAACAAGTTGTCCATAAAGAAGTTCACTATCTTTTGAGCCATCCAGGCAATTTGAGGGTTTTAGATGCAGGACATCTGATATCTGGAACATATCCTATTTGCGGGAGCTGCTTTCTCTCGAAGTGCAACAATTTCTTGACCCCTGCCCTCTGACTCGCATTGCCCAACCGAAACCCGATACTTACCTGACCAACCCTTGTGGTCTTCTGCCAGGAGCCGGCACACCTCAGCCAGTCCAGGTCCACCTATGCACCCCACGATCTCAACCAGCTCATCCAGTCCATGCCAGCGCCAGTTAATGCCCTGGCAAGCCACCTCAAAGTTGTCCTCCCAAGTTGATGCCAGCAATTCCCTGCCGCCCCCACTCCGCAGCACCGCCAGCCGCGCCTCGATGGCGGACCGGCGAGAGGGGTAGAAGGCGTCAGTGTCCAGGTCCAGCGGTGCACTTTGGAAGGGCGTCCGGAAGACATCGGGGACGTCTGGCCATGGCAAAGCAAAGTCAGCTGGGAAAAATGCTCGAAATTGATGCTGGTGCACTTTTTACGATTCCTACTTTTGTACCAAATTTCAGGGTCCAGTTGTTGATCCCCTTCTGACCTGGGCTGTTGCTTGTAGCTCAAATTACACTTGCTGCACAGCTGCCTGATAGGTCGTCAACATCCATCCCTGGTTCACAATTGTGTGTCTGTGAAAATGCGCCGTCCTTGGGAGCGTTTTCTGCTGATGTGTACAATGGCAAATGTGATCTGATGGAAGCAAGGGCAGTGCAGTGTGATAATCTTGGCAAGCGCAACAAAGAAAAATTTTCCCGACAATGCCAATATGGTGAAAAGTGCATGCTTGTGTCCTTCAACACTTGCAAGGACTCGAGGATTTGTGCAGAGTAATACTGCTGCAGAGCTGTTGAGATCCTTCCAAAGATATTGCAGCCTGTGCCATGAACAGGAAGACAGGGATTTCAGCAACTTGGCAGGGGGCTGTGTTGCATGCCACTGACTGATTCTGCGATTTGGGGGCACCTGGAGGGTTCGCATTTCATGGTCACCAGGTTGTTCATCAAACACAGCCTTCCTGAGCAAGGGCACAGATGGCTACTGGCAAAACAAAATTGAGAAGGCTTTCACTGTTCACCAGCACACCTGGAAATTTCCTGGGCACATGTTCTGATGTTCACCCTGGGGTATCTTGAGCCGACCATTGGAAATCTATTTGACGGCAATCATTTTTCAGGTTGTAACAATGCCTTGCTGGCATTGCTGATAACTTGCCTACAAGGTAACATTGAGCAAAGATTCCAGTGGCTCGTCACAACCGGAAGCAGCATTCCTGAATGACAATTCCATACAGTAACAGGAATCGTCACCTGAGAACAAAACGTCCCACATGACCAAACTGAAGATTGTGGCCCAGACTCCATTCTCAGAATGGCATCCTCTCCAACCCCCGCCCTGCTCTGTTGCGTAGTGTTGGAGGGCAAACTCCTCGACATTGCAATATTCCCCATCTAAGCCAATGTACCTGCAAAATGCCAACCCCTCCATCAACTGAATTTTGTTTGGCCACAGGCTATCTGAATTTCTGCGGAATTTCGACTACTCCACACCGTTTTCACAACAACAGTAGCCTGCTAGTTCAGTCCTCCCAAAACACAGCAACAACAGTCCAGCTGGTGCTATTCAGAAGGTGATGATGTACAAAAAGGCATAAATTTGCATCACACCACTGTTGCGTTCCTCCAAAAAGCTATCTCAGATGGAAAGAGTTCAACAAATGTCGCTACACAGTTGCCTTGATTGCTACACCACTGCCCATGGACATCCTATCTCCTCTCTTGACCGGCTGCAACAACCTCTCTTCCCAAATGACAAACCACAGATGTGTGAGCATGTGCACAAACCCACCTGACATGTTTCACATTCAAGATTGTTGGCATCCACATTGTACATACTGTTGGTATCCATGCCAGCCCTCAAAAACTGGTGCCAGCAGAGCTTACCTTGTCTTCCCCATTGTCACGTTGATCGTGACAGGGGTTGCCCATATTTGCACCTCCCTTGGCTCCTGCATTGCAATGGGTGCCCATGCAGGCCTTCGCCACCTCCTTGGTGGCTTCCCCAGTCGCAGAATCCGGCGCTGGATTCCAAGTTTGTCACCGTGTCGGAGCCATTCATCAGCCAGAGCAGTCTCGCAACACTGCGGGTCCATGGACAAAGCGTTGAGCAGCTAAATAAGGGAACAAAGCCACTACAAACTTGCACTTTCTTGGAATAGCGCAAGGCCCACAATCATTTTTTGTGTGTGTGGGTGGGGCTGGGGTTCTGGTGGGGTGGTGGTGGGGTGTGCCTCGACTCTTAAATGTGATGTATAGTGATGTGTATTGCAATCAGACATAATGCACCATCCCATTCCCAAACAGTATGATACAATCCAGTAACTTGGCAGGGGTGGTCTCTACAACTGTGGCAGATTCTTCATTTTCATTCCGATTGCAAAAGCAGCAACTGACAACCAGGCCAAGCAAAGATTTATGAGTGACCAGGCCTCCATTCCAGGATTAATGTCCATTTCTCACCTAGTCTGAACATTGCATACCGTCTAATCTGTACAGAACATGGCCAACCCCCCTTGTAGAAGCATTTCCCGTCTGCCTAAACCCAATGTGACATAGAGTATCGTGAATCTGTTGACTGTTGTGGCCCTTACTGCTTGCATCTCTATTCATCTGCACTTCACCATTCAGATGCTGAACAAATGGCCACAGAAGCATGGAACAACGTGACATTGTTCGGCCCCAAAAAGGCCAGAAAGTGATGTCACACAATGCAAGAACGCACTGCAAGAATGGTACGTGTGCATATGCGCATTTGCACACACTTTTGAACATATGTGCGTGTCTGCAGCTGTGTGCATGACAGCACAAATTCCCACAGTGGAGCCACTTGCCTCCAGGGCTTCATCGTGCCTGCCAATGTGCTCAAGGTTCACAGCAAGCCTGTTCCACCAGTAGCCCCGACGTGAGGGGCAACAGTTTCCACCCAGCAGGCTGCGCAGATGCTCCACAGCTTGCCGGTATTGCCGCCTCTTCTCCAAGATGGACACGCCCACCGTCGCCATGCCAACATGCACCCATGCTGAACAAAACCTTGCCAAAAACAATGGTGGCTTCGGCTGGTTGGCATGCACAGAGCATTGGGCAGTCAGATTCGCTTCGTTTGGCGGCCTTGATGGGCAGGTCCCTGCAGGTGGCTCCTCGCCGAGTGCCTCATGGGGGCTTGTCCAAGCCACGCGTTTGTGGTCACCATTCCTGATGCTCCTCCACACAGGCTCCAGGGCTGCCTCTGCCGCATCCATGTCGTCAATCTGTGTGAACCCATTCGGCTCTTGTTTCAAGCCATGATATTGTCAGCTTGGCATTTGAAGTTTGCGCAACATGAACTTCATGCAACAACACCCAGCAGTGCACACATTATGCTGCTGTTCTGTTTCCTATTCCAACAAAGCTATGCATGCTTCGGTTCCTGGCAAGTATTACATCACACTCAAGGGTGCTGCAAGCTGTCTGTAAAGGAACACGAGGCTGTTTTGATAAAGTGCAGATGAGTCCTGTTCTTCATGAGGAGGCAGTATTGGACTTTGTTGAATTGTCATGATGCAACAGAAGGCTGTGGCCATTGTCTCAAGAGCCAACCACTAACTACATGCCTGCTGACCAGCAACAGCTACTTTGCGTCAATCTGGAGGCTGTATGCAGCATGTGTTTGTGTGGGCCAAACACAGCAGTTCATTGCCCAGTTTGTCATGAGCGTATTGAAATGAGGATATACAAGGTCAATACGACATAGATTGCAGTGCCCTTCATCACTCTGGGTCGGGGCCAAAGGCCACCACTTCAAGTTTGAGACATATGTACCTGTTCTGGACATTAGATACGGTGCCCACCTCGAGGGCATCGTCCAGGACCTGGGCGTGGCCAATGGCCTCTTCATATTGCATCAAGTGTTCCTGAGTCGTGAAGGCAGAATGTGCCACATTGACATTGTAGTGAGGCCACTTGATTGCACCATATTCCACAGCAAGGAAGCTCGAAAGGTCCTGGGATTCATTCAGGAAGAAGAGTCGCTGGAGCCTTGCAACAGTGGCTCGAGCACTGTCTTGCAGACGTAGGCATGGACCGGTCAATGCAACCACATGGGAGATGCTCGGCACTGCAACAGGGGCCTGCAGGCATGAATGGTACATACACAGCATTTGCTTCGTTCATGCAGACAAGGCTCGCCTTGTATAGGGGATGACAATCCAGCACTCATATGTGCATAGCATGCAGAGCATCTGTGAATTGGACATACAAACCAGCTTGGAGAAAAGAGACATTTCCAATCACCACTGAACCGTCCATAACATCTGATCGACAGCAAGCGCCAACACAACACGGGGTACTGCCTGCAATTCTCCAGAGCTTGGCAGCAATTATTTTTTCAAGGATTTCTCAACATGGGCACAGTGAGATCTGTTGACACTGCAGGACGGTTGCTCGGGGCAGGGAAGGCTCACCTGGCTTTCAAGGCTCTGCAGCATTTCGATGGCATTTATGGCCAGCTGCTGCCTTCCACATCTGCTCTTGCTCCTGATGTTTCCATCTCCCACTGATGCCAGCATGAGCTGGAGTTCCGGTGCTGTCAGGATCCCCACCAACTCTTCAATTAAACTGGGAATCTTGCTGTCTTCCATAGAATGACACAGCGTCTTTGCAGTTCCACTCCCTTTGTCCACTAAAGTGACCAGATCTTGTTGAGCCAGCTCTTGGATGCAGGCAGCCATATCACTGACTTCTGCATAGCGAAGGGAGTTCACCCTGAACCATGGGCCCTTCCTGAGAAACAGCCTCAGGAACAGGCACTGCGATGGGTGCGACAACAACTTGAAGGACTGGGAGAATGTGAGGTCATTAGCCGACAGCAGGTGGCAGTCATGCAGCAGCACCGATTCAAGCACAAAGGCGAAATTGGATCGGAGGCATTCTGAGGCAGGGGGAGGTGGGTGAGACAGTAGGAGAGACGCTGCTGTTTGCGCTTGCCGCAGCATCTTGTGGACCTGAGTCACAAATAATTGATAATTCATCAGCAAGATGTCAGCATTCTCAACACCAGATGATTCTGAGGGAATGGCAGATGACTGGCTGAATGAATTTATCCCTAAAAATAAAGCATGAAAATATGACATACTGGCCAATTCATCTGTCCCCACTGAACTCAAATGATCAGACAGTGTCAGGGTTCTCTCGGTCCGCACATGGCCCCACAATACTCCGGAAAACACGCCACCCCCTTTGTCGTCAGAGTGGCAGGTGATTGTGGATCTGAAATGAGTACATAACCGTTTGCTCCTTCACAAGGACATCCCTGGAGGGCAATTTCTTCATTCTTGCTCGCTTGTCATGTTACCTAACTGAGCTGTTTGTGATGGCAGATTGTACTGGCCTGCAATGAGCAGAAGACCCAAACAGGGAGCTATGTGGGGAGTGTGTCAATGCATGTGATGATATCTGGCTTGCAACAATGTTGCTAGCCAGCATTTGCCTTGCCTTTGAACATGCAAGATGCACAGTGGAACAAATGATAACACAGACAAGTTGCCTGACAATTTGCTACATGCTAAACCGAATATCCTTATATCCCAGCTTGTCAAAAGCAACGTTGTCAGGCAACGTGGGGCACACACAAAAGCATTCCCACTATCAGCTAGGGACTCAGCAACCCTTGGCTGAATATTGCAACATCTTTGCCCAACATTAATGAGGAGATTTGGCATCTATACCTTTGCTGCCTTGTCATTTGCAATACACTCCCTTGCAACAGCATGCAAAGTCATGGTAGCCCGCCTGCCATTGCCATTGGCTTGGAATCGAATTATGCCGCTGATAGTAACCAAGCCGTCATCCATGATGCCTGCTAGCTCTGAGGCGACCTGCATTATGGGAATATTAAAAGTCAAGTTCATGATCCGACAAGGACAGCCATAGATCAACGATGTGCCAAAACATTGCTTTTCAGAGCAAGAACCACCAGGGACTTTAGCATGGGGCGGTTGTTATGGTTTGTTCCTTCCACAAGGTGCACTTCCTCAGTCTTCAGTATTGCTGCTCTCTCCTTGGTTGCTACGTTTGTTAAAAGTCATGACAAATCGTCGCCAACCACTGCAGCAACAAGTGTCCTAATTAAGATGTGCCTACTCCCATCCTTCTTTTGAAAGATTGGGATTTCTTTCTGAGCACAGGGCAGTGGAGTGTGCAGAGATTTTAAATTTTGCATCGCCATATCCAGAGCCAAAAAGAGCATTTCAGGATGTGTCCAGATGATTGGTGCCAATGTGCAAGCAATGCAGGTAGCGACTGCCACTGAGGCCTGTGTTGTACTACTGTGTCAAAAATTAGGTGACCTCTATGACTTTGGCACCATGTTTGTCCATTATGACTGTGAGGGTGAGGAAGCTAAGCAGGTAGTTGTAAAGGAAATTGTGCTTATTATGGTGTGGCTGGACATGGGGACATGGTGTTAAAATATCGTGAAATAAATATGGAGATACAGTGACAACTAACTGGGAACACTTTCAGCAAGTACCATTTGATTGGTGTGCTTGACCTGTAAATGCATCTGGTTATGGCTTGGCTTACTGTGCCTGGGAGTGGCTGTGTGTGGTTCTTCTGGTTTTCTTCTCAATGACATAGAGATAACAGCGAAATTTCTTCCAAATTGTGGCCATGAGTGCAGAGCAACAATCAAAAGAACAAGTCAAATTTTAAATACTATGGATTTACCAGCACTTTGCAATAATTGTCCCAAGCCAGAAGAGCTCGAATTTCACTGTTGCTGCAAAAATGACTGCTTTCAAGATAGTGAGGAGAATATGCCTTTGCATTAGCAAAAGGGGTGGCCTTTACAACAACATTCACACATGCAACGACTTGGCTTGACACAAGCAAAGACAGTCCTTGAATCCCCAGTGTATGAGTGACTCGAATTCATAGTTTGGGCCTGAGCAAAGGCAACCTTGGGACCTCTTAGAGGGGCTAGATTGATTTTTCTCTCACAAAGTGCTAATCAGGGGCATGGGGACCAAAACTAGCCGATTCTTACCTCCTTGTGTTATTCAGAGACCACTGATGTAACAGTGTAAAAGTTCTCAGTCAAATACAGGACAATTAATTTGGGATGGTGGAAGTAATGTAATGCGATGTGGTGTGGTGCTGTGGTACAAAAAGAAGAAATGGCGGCTTGTCCAGCATGTACGCTGTGTAGATTGTTGTACCTTTGCAAGAGTGACCAAAGATAGCATACAGACTGCCCCTGGCCCAGCACGACACTCAAGCGATGCAGGCAGAGGAGCCGCACCTGTGCAGGGATGTGCCCAAATGCACAGCACTCGCCTTCATTGTCGATGTCGTCCACCGTCACCTGAATTGCATTCCGATCCTTCAGGTTGTCTGGATGCCTGCTGAGCCAGGCACTGCATCCATCGCTGCACGTTGCCCTGGAGTGGTGCCTGAGGCCCACCACAGGGCATTCGAAATCCATTGTGCTGCCATTCACGAATGGCTTGTCCGGTTGTGGGGAGACCCCTGAGCTTGGCTGAGGGACTTTGGCGCAAGGTAAAGGTAAAGGCAGGTGAGGCTGGGAGCCATCGCTGCCAAGGACAGACTCTTGGCTTCCGCCCTCGTTCAGGAGCTTGTCAGTCAACACGTGGCATGTTCTGTCTGCAGGCAAAGGAGCAAACAGCTTAGAACAGCCGCTGTGCAAGGAATTCAGCCCATCAATGTCTTTCAGGTGCAAGTGCAGTTGAGTTCGTTTGTCAGAAAGGCGACAGAGTCGCACACATGGCATCTGGGCCCATGTCGGAGGAGGCACAGCGGCAGCTACGCAGGGATACACAGGGATTGCTGCGTATGTTGCACCACTCAAACTGATGCCAGCCAGCAGCAAAGGAAGCGGGGGTTTGAGGGGTGGGGGGGGGGATAGGCATCATATGCGCGAGTGCATGCCCACATGCGTCCGCCGGCTTTTCTTTGTGGTCAGGATTGGGTTTTGGGGAAAGTATGTCGGGCAGCAGGAATAGGAGAGCCCAGGCAATGAGCACGGCACAAGTGGATACCAAGGTGGCTACGCAAGTGGCAAATAAGAGACAACATAGCTTGACCACACGCTGCTTTCAGTGCTTTGGCAGACGCCGCATTCTGCGTCGTGAAGCGTTCGCTGATAGCCCATTGCCGCTCAGGTGGCGGGGGCACCCAAATACCATGATAACCATCCTCAGATTCTCCAAAGCCCCTTGCTCTTTCCCCATTTTCCAACGATGGCCGTCCGGCGCCGCCCCGTCCGCCACCTTCCGGAGCCAGCCGCGCCCTTTTCCCTTTGTTCCCCGTCCCCGGGGCCCTTCGCGTCCTGGACGACTTGCCGATGAGCTGCTGAAGCGACTGGTGGCCCCTCAACATTTCGCCAATCCCATCCGAGAAGGCTCTTTGGGGTCCGGGCCATCCAAGCCGCACCTCGACTCCCAGAGAGGCATAAGCTCTACGAAAGTGGCATTGACTTCTGCCACGGAAGAGCTTGCCCGCCTGGACTGCCGCCTTTTTGCGATGTGTACCTGTCTTGAGCAGGCGCTGTCTTGTGCAGACGTAAGGTACATGGTGCGCAAGCATTCGTGAATGCGCCGCATTCACACGAATGAGCCCATGGGCACCGATGCCTCCATCCAGATTCGGAACGGCTGCACCGAAGGTGTTTTTGAAGCACAGGGCTCAATATCGATGCATATCGGCTGCATCTGTGATGCAAATTGCCCCGGTCTCTTCCCCGGCCTTTTCAGGTCACAGACGCATGCTAATGACTTGTTTGTGACTTTGGCGCGCAGTACAGCGAACCACGGCCGGTCAATCCACTTGTTCGCCTTTCGGAAGCCGGTTTGCGGACTCTGCGCCCAAGCCAGAACAGGCATCTTCCAGACACGGCACATTTTGCGTTGCCTCCCGCAGGAGGATGTATTAGTCTCTCCCTCCTTTCCGTGAAGATCCCTTCTTCTTCCGCTGTCAAGGCCAACGTGGGTCAGTGGGGGTCAAGGTTCAGGGTGTTCGAAACAAGAAGGGATCTTCACGGAAGACGGAGCGACTAATTTCATGCCGTGGGGCAGGCGGGTGGAATATGCCTCAGCAAAGGGCGTCTCTGTGTCCGCCACTGACCCAAATGACTGCCATTCCGCACGCATAACTTCGCCGCGTCCGCCCGTTGCACACGAGCGCGCCCAGAGCGCATTCCCCTTTGTCCCTGGGGCGGGGAAGAGGCTGGAGACGCGTTCAGGAGTCCGCCAGGTAACGTGCGGCACGACAGCCTTGGACCTGCGGCCTGTGGACAGCACCCCGCCGGGCCATTCGACTTTGTGGGCCGCAAGCGAGGGCTGGGAAGGGCCCGATCAGGCGGGCAATTGCTTCAAGGGAACGAGGGCTTTAGGCACCTGTCGCCGTCATCAGTGGATCAGCCGTCACCGTTGGGCCGCCGCTTGCGAGAGCACGGCAATTGCCCTTCAGCTTGTCCTGGCCGCGTCGCAGCAAGGACGCCATGGCCAGCGGCATTGGGGCATGGTGCGGGCTGGCGCCCACCATCTTGTGGGGTGGTGGGCGCAGGCCACGCGCAAGAAATGTCGAAATGTGGCCTTGGATGCGCGAGCGACGCTCTCCCGTGCGCAGCGAGCTGCCTCTCTGCCCGTCGCGCGCGGCGGGGATTAACCCTGTTGACTCCGCGTCTGCGGTGTTGACTGTTTGGGACCAGCGTGCCATGGATGGGCGCCTCCCGCTGGCGCCGTGCGCGGTCGCCCACGCGGCCCGGCCGGGCACCCTCTTCTGAAAAGTGATGGGCACCGAGGGCGAGCCCGATGGATTTGCGAGCGACGCAATCGCGCGCTGGGCGGTCCTGGTGCCCAGAAGTAGCTGATTGTAAAAATCAGATCAGGGGGTGGGGCTGCTCCCCTGCGAGCAACCGCTGTCGAGCGCTCAATTGAGCGCGTCGCCGAGTGCTTGTCGTACGATACCGCAGGGTGGATGTCGCCGTGAGGAAGCCGCTTGGTAGCGCCGGCCCTGGCAATGTTGTGTTCAGGTTGGGGCCCAATGGAAAACCGGCAACTCCACGTGAACTCGCGAACATCACAGATTCGGGCGCGGACAGCCGGGCTGAGTGCGCGGCCTTCGTTTGTGCGATCCTTCACAGCTCATGAACAGCCCGTTTGTCAACAGATATGTGAATGCAAGCGACACAATGTGCCTTTGTTGACTTTATCTGGTGTCCAAATCCCAAGGATTCGATTTGCTGGAACCTGTGAGGCAACAACCGGTGCCTTCTGCTGATGGTTGCCTTAGCGATGTGGCAATCGCTATGTGCACCCTATCCGGTGATCATCCGCCATTTCCTATTGTCTGCTGCAGAGTCAGCTGGTTCATGGTTTCACATGTCCATCTATGCTCAGCAGCTTCTGATAGCATGGCTGATGGTGTCACTGCAGATGTGCGATTGCGAGTTGCTTGAGATCTTGGAAGAAAGCACGCAGAAGCTGAGCGTCCCACAAAGTCTGTCCCAGAATTTCACTGTCCACAGCTGCCAAACTGAGAACCAGTGGACCTTGATCAGTGTCAACACAAAATAAGCACACATGACAAGTTGTCCTTCTGGCGTTTGGCAAGTTCTTTGCGTCGCTGAATGGTGAAGGTGCTCAAAGGGTCCTTCCACCACCTCTGCCATGCACGACAGCTTGTGACCCCCGGACCTTCAGCGCATACTGAGATACGCTCGTGGTCTGCCTTCCAGAGGCTTCACAAATCTCCCAATACCGATCAGCACTGGGACCAGCCCTTGGATGGCCAACCAGCAGGGCCTGCGCATGGAGCTGTCCCCAAGTGCCCCTTCCCTCGACGGTCTGGCTGATGAGCTCACACCACTGGGCACGGAACTGTCTTCGGTGTCCATGGGGTCAGGACAGGGCACCGCATCTGTCTCTGAGGAGCAGGGCCCAGACGAACGGCAGAGCCCTAAGGCGGCTACAAAACGGAGGAGGATCGACAGGCCACCAAAGAGAGGGCTGCCACTGTCAAACGTGGTGAATACAGTTGGATTTGGTGAGCACGATGGCAGTGCAGGGCCTCAAGGAAGGGTAGAGGCTGGGGTATGGGGTTGGGGGCATAGCATGTGAAAGCAATGGGGTCATGGCTGCTTTTCTTGGTCACGGGAATTGTTTGTGCCAGCAACAGCACTGTATTGTTTGTCCGGCATAGCTGGCTCTGCTTTGTGCATGTGTTGTCGGGATACCTGCCTTATGTGCACACCATACTTTGACAAAGCAGGGGACTCAGTCAGCATATCCACAATGAATATTTGATAGTGCGGGGTGTGGGTGTGGCGCATGTTGAGTATAGCGCAAGGCCAACACAATACTGGGGATTTTGTCCATACAACTGACCTACTCATGATCGATTCAAGTCGGAATTGCATTTTGTAGCACTGAAGAATGGATCAAGCATCATCTTCGCACGATGGAAGCCACCAGATTGCTTTATGCACAATGCAAGAAATGTACTGAAACAGGAGGAGCCAAGAGTCGAATGCAATTGATGGTGGCTTTCATGGGTATGTTCCCAGGTTTGGGTGCTGCGGCCTGTTGGGGTGGTTGGAAAGGAGGCCTCATGAAGGTTGGAGGGGGTTTTGTTTGGGGCATAGCACTGGGCTGTGCGGCAGGACTGGAGCTGACAAAGAGATACAAGAAGAATAGGTGATTGAGCGATTCTGAAACAGCGGTGTGCAACCACGCTGTCATGTTGACTCGCGCCTATTACCTGCTGCTTTTCGATGGGTTTGATTGCCAAGCCGCATGCACTGCTGTGTTTGACTGCTGCTTGAATTGAGAGTGATAAAGAAGGCTGCTAGCACTGCTTTAGCTCATGGTTTGCTGCTGTATTCTGCTGCCACAGGGAGTGTTGACTGGTGGCTGTACTGCCTGTACTGGCTGTACTGTCTGTACTAGCTGTACTGCCTGTACTGGCTGCACAGTGACTGCATGCAATTTTTATTGTTTGTCTATTGCCAAGAGAAGGCACTGCAGCATCATTGCACCCTCAAGGCGATGGCAAGCTTAACTGTATACCAGCCCTGTGTGTGTTGTGCTCTGTTCCAGCAAGCAGCTGCACACCTACCTATGGAGCTGCTCCTGCGGTTGCTGCAATGGTGTCTTTACTAGATTACTAGATGTGTTCATGCCAGCGGTCCTGGACATGATCGTGTGTTGCAAGGCCATCCTAGTTGGCACTAATGACAAATAAATTGTCCACAACAACCTCCAGACTCTCCATGGAATCGTGTACAATATCCCAAATGCTTGTCACGCATTGTAACGCAGGTGGTGTGCAGAATCATGGTCATGTGATTGTGAACAAGAGCTGGTTGGATCTCTGTCAGTGAGGTGCAAGTGCTTTTGTTGTGTCTATTTGGACCAGTGCATGCCAAGAAATCATTTGCATCGTTACCAACTGTGCTGCATCATTCCTGTTCCCATTCTTGTACAACATTAGCATTTTTATTTTCACTGTCCTGTCCATTTTGCTCACAGGCAGGTAAAATTCTGCAAGCTGGACTTCTTGGGCCGGCCATTGACTGGGCGGGGGATCTTCCATGTGCTGAACCCCAATGACCCATTCATCCCAAACTTGACGTCCAGCGAGCGTGTGGAGTCCATCAATCGAGCCCTGAGGCTGATGTGGCCCTTCTACGAGCCATGCATCGTCAAGTTGATATTGGAGACGGTCACGCCCCTGTTGGATGCCTGGAAGCCTTCATTCATAAAGCAGATAAACTTCCAGAAACTGACTTTTGGTGATGTACCATTCAGCATGACGGGAGTTGAGGTGTTGAAGCACGGAAAGGACGAGTTTGTGTTCCAGGCTGCCATCAGGTGACCATTGCAGTACAGAGAATGATTTTACGCAGCTGTTGTTTCACCTTGGAAAGTAGGATCGTTGAAATCCTGCACTGAATTCACAGGACCGAATGCCGGAATGCTTCCCGCTTTGTTGCATTGCGGTGTCTGTCCCAAAAGCGAGTGGGACTAGGCCAGAGTGGGTTGTCCTTACTCTTGAGTGCGATGCATGACCCATATGACACTGGCCAGAAGTGCCAATAGTGCAGTCCCATATCCCTGCCCTCCTTGGACGTGGGACTGTCTAGAATATCATCTGAACGACGCTCTCGCACTTGCTTGCACATGGCAAAGTTCGTGATTTGGATTGTGTTAACTGCATTGGTACTCCCTCACCAAGCACTGTCCCCTTCACCTGTGTCAGGTGGCATGGAAGGGCGAACATTTCGCTCAAAGTCGAGGCTGGGGGCGTCACGATGCAGCCACGGGTGGAGAGGTTGGATTTTTTTGCCAACGTGCGCGTCGCTCTGACGCCTCTGGTTGACAATTTTCCTTGCTTTGGAGCCATGACGCTGGCCTTCTTGAAGCCACCTATGGTACTTGCTTGCTTTGCTTGATCCTTTGCAATAGGAATCCGCTGTGATTCACACTGTCACAACATGGCATATCGCTACCACTGTACCAACTAAGAGATGTACCAGGTTCCCTGTGCTTGTTGGCTGCCTGCAATGTATGTCTTGCAGTGGCAGTGACCTTGCATCGTGGACAATGCAAGTCTTGGAGGCAGTAAACAGGCAGGTGTCTTTGAGCTCCTGGGGCTGTGTTTTGCACTTGGGCGCTATAGTGTCCGACTGGCAGTTCGCCCACCTCAAAATGGCTTTGTTGGTCAGGCATAACAATTACTCTTGCTTGCCAGACAATATTTCGTGTCTTCCAGGTTTCAACAGAAGACAGCTGTTTCTTGCAGATCGTACTGGCAGGTGCTAGATTTCCTGAATGTGTGGAATGAAGCCCTTGTTGCCGTGGTTTAGGTTTTTGCTTCTAAAATGATGCCACTTGTGAAAAATTTGTGACGATGGAAAGGATCTAACAGGAAGCTGTAGCGTCATCTCAGCAGAGTGTGACAGACTTTCCGATCGCCACACAGCATGCTCTCGCAGATCCCTTGCATTCATGTGTCTGTCAACATGTCTTTGCAGTTGCAGGTTGCTTTCGTTGTCTTATAGTATATGGCTTGGATGCCAGGCCATGTGGCCACGTGAGCATTAAGCTGACAAGATTTCTTTCCTGTCGTCCAGGTGAAGTTTGAGATTTCGGTTGGCACGCCCCTAATGGAGTTCAACTCTGATACGGTGAAAGACTTTTTGGAAAATTTTGTGGTGCATCACATCTTTGGGGATCTCCTTGTGTGGCCCAACAGAATAGTGGTGAGTTTACAGAGGAACGACTCCCGTGAATTGCCTGTATGTTCCAGACAATGCTTCCAGATTCTGCATACATTCCAGAGAAGAATCCTGCCGTCAGTCTTGCGACTTGGGGTTCATGCATATTTGTCTGCTTGTTGTTGCTGTAAGTGGTGCGCCCATACAGAATATTGTCCAACTTGTTGTTGGCCATGTGTTGGTTGTGCCTCGGTGCAGTTGCAGTTTCAGAGCAAGAAATTTACTCTGGATTCCTAAACTCACAGAGAAGGCCTGGAACAAGAAGAATATCCATCTGTGGGTTGCTGGGCTATTGCGCAAAAGGGTGGGCCAGCTGTGTTCATGACCCATGTCCTGGTGTTGTCCAAATGCAGCCACTGACAGCAGGAAAATGAGCAGTTGCTCTGAGCAAACTGCGTGGATGGCATGCTATCGGTGCTTAGGTGGCAGGCAATGTTTTGTTCTTATGATGAATGTGATCGACAGCAACAATGCACAAAGCCGGATCAGGAGGCTAGAACCTGTGTCGAATCGCCAGTGCTGTTTTGAACAAGCATTCTGTGCCACCTCTAAGGTCCCAATTCTTCCTGAGTCACAGAGGGGCAACATTGATCACCTGTACTTGCACACTCGGGGTGTCATTCGGGTGGTTGTGAAGGAGGCGGATGGTATGGGTGCCTATGGTGAAGGTGTGGCATGGAAGGTCTTCCTACAGACAGTTTCTTCAACATCTCATTCTACCGAGGTGAGTGCATGCCACGTGGCGATCATTGGTTCTGCTGTTGACATGTTATTGCTCAGGTGTGAGAAACTTTTCTATCGGTGACTGGGGATCACAAACACTTGTGTGGATGTTGATAGCCCCTGACATATGAGCAGGCATTGTTGCGCGAGGGGTGAATCTATGGCATTTTAAGCATGCTTGTTGATGTCCATGTGGTGCCAGGCACCCCTCCTCAAAACCCTCTTGGCAGCATTGCTTATACCAATGCAACATCAGAATCCATGCTTCCATGGGAATATATCTTGATGGTGCATCCCATTGCCGATGTGACTTCCAGGGAACTGGAGGTGTTGGCTTGCAGCTGCTCAAGGCAGCAGTGAGTAACACAACTCATGTTAGTGCTGCAGCCAGTGTTCCATCAGTTATGGAGCTACCGGAATGCAAGTTTCTGTGCATGCCTGTGGATGCCAACTGCACGATTATTTCTGAAGAGAGCTTGTATGACAAGCCAGTGAGCTCCTCTGTTGGCGGTTGATGTCAAACCATTGCAGAATTCTTGCACCAGGCCCCAAACACCTTACCATGCCGACATTGCGCAATGCTGAAATCCTAATAAGGTTGACGCTGAAATTCCTCAATGGGGAGTTGTGTCTCGCTGGAACTGTAGTGCCTTGTGAGGATGTTGCCTTCCACTGTTACTCAGTGCATATTTTTGTCTGATTGTCCAGCATCTGTGTTCTGCAGGCGAAGTCGGGCGATCGGATAGTTTGGGGGGAGGAGCATTACTTGAAGGTGCAAGAGCTCTCACAGGTATATATGCATCCACGATGGCAGTGAATACACACGTGGCAGTGATGCAAAGGCACCTTCACTGGAAACGATGTATTGGTTGGTTGGCACTGTGCTGATGTTGCTGCTGAGGCTTCAGAATGCAGCTACAATCAATGCCATGGTGGGAGTTATGTGCACAGCTCTGATAGAAGCCAAGAATGAAGAGGGCACAATGTTCAGTGACTCGTGCGCTGTGCACACAAACACTGATTTTCTGAAACTGCCCTGCACGGGCTCTGGCTGATATATTTGGGTAATTTTTCAGCTGAGTGAGGACATGCAGTCATCTGAAATGCTATGTACAGCAGTACAGTGGAGTAATTGCAATCCATTTCCCTATTGATGCATGCAAGTTTTTGTGAAATTCACTCATGGCCATCTGGGGTATTCCAAGGCAAGTGATGGAGGTGGAGACAACGGCCTCCCTCAGGAATTACAAAGATCGTACTTTGAATGAGGCCTGCCATGTAAGCATGCCCTCTCCCTTTTGCCCTAGATTTTGGATAGTTCATTTGTCTGCAGCACAGAAGATTGCCTGCAGGTCGCTAGGTGTTGTTGCAGTAGAGAATTCTACCACATTGATGCAGGTTTGGGCTTCTCCGCAAAATCTACCGAACCGATGTGTATCCTGTCAATGTGTGTTCTGTGTGCGACAAGTTGCACCATGTGCGAAAGACTTGGCTTGCAGTGCGATAAAATCATGTATGGAAGGGTGGAGGACAAGTCCTGCAATGGGCTACGCATTGAAGTGTTTGAGAGGCACTTCATGCTGTGGGGCCACTGTCAGAGACATGGTGCACTGTGTTCAGAACTGGTCCATCCTATGGGATGTGGATTGGCAGCTGCTATGTGTATGACAACCACAGGAAAGCCCTAACCCATTTTTGGTAGTGGTGCTCTTGATGGGTCCAACAATGAACCTCAAGTCTAACAATGTGTCTGCCATACAGCGTTGGGAGGCGGGAGTGGGTTTCAGTTATTGTCTGACTGGCTGCGAAGACAAACCACAGGGTATTTATAAAAGCCCTAGCAGCCCAACAACAGGTGAACAGTAAAATACCTGATACATACAAAAGATCCCAACAATGGGCCAAGAATGCATCCAGCAATGCGACCTCTCCCCATCGTTGCTGTACCAATTGCAGGTGTTTGTTTGCACCAACTTTGTCTGCAGCTCCTAATTTGAGGGGTGTTTGATGATCATAGAGTCTGAGGGCAACAGTAGTTGATGAAAGCTACGGCTACATGGACCCCCTGATGGCATCCACAACGAAACAGGTGACTCAGCGTGGGCGAAAGGTGGGGAGCTGCTTTGTTGAGATCAGGGACCTGGAGGCAGGTGTGGCGATGGACAATTGGTATGAGCTTGGGTCTACAGCGTGTACATGGGGCTCAGAATCGGGGATGGTAAGTACAGAACATCCCTTGGCTTTTTTGACTTTGATAGTGCCTGCTATGAGCAGTCGAGTGAAGTTGCAATCGATAGCCAGTTGAACTTGGGTATTTCTAAGAGCATAAGCTTCCCCAACAGGGTTTGCTGTTTGGCAGATTGGGTCCACAACACCCCTGTGTGTGTGTGGGTGGGGTAGGTGGGTGGGGGGGTGGGGGGGGGGGGGGGGGGGGGGGGGGGGGGGGGGGGGGGGGGGGGGGGGGGGGGGGGGGGGGGGGGGGGGGGGGGGGGGGGCTTGTTCTGCAATGTACATTGTATAACTTTGAACATGCAGTAGAGTAATAGCCCATCGTAGACATGGCATACCGGCACCATTGTTGGCGGGTGTTTGGACTCTCAGGGTAGGGCCTGGAATAAACACTGTGAAAGGGATGCATTTTGAAATTCAATATTGCAACCATGCCAATCATATCCATTGGGATCAATTTGGAGATGGGGGGCACCTGGATATTGCAGCAACAGTTGCGTTGGCTGCAGCAGTTTCAAGAACAGGATCGTTCGTTTGCTGTTCTTCATTGGAACCAACTTCACCCCTGAACATGCGTACCTGAGCTGCTTGTCATGCAATCTCTGTGCCATCTAATGCATAGGGCATTGCATGACACACTCCCTGGTTGTCTTGCTGTGTGCAGGTGACCCCCAGGGACATGGTTTCGCGCTTGCACCTTGAGCTAACCTACATGCCTCTGGACTGGCTGAGACGTGGCCGTTTTTGTGCTACGCAACAATGCGTACATCATGGTCTACTGTTCTTCAGGTAATCCACATCAGATATATCTTGCCACTGCATGCCTCAGGATGTTTCATTGCACTGACAGAGAAGATCTCTGAGGATATTGCTGTCGGCATTTCGTCGCATTAACTTCATTCAATGGTGCTGTGGTGCTCTGAACCATGAAACCTGCTGTAAAGTTCCCATGTTGTCAGTACTATCAGACTGCATCGTAACTAGCAGTAGGAGCATGGCATTGTCGGGTGCAGGGTATATGGCTCAGACTGTGCACATACTCTTGAATGGGACCATGCAGCACTATTGAAGGCTGACAACTGCATTGATTGCACCACAAGCAAGGATGCAGGATGCCATGTTGGTGTTCATCTTTGAATTCCGATTTGTGTTGGTGGCAACTGCTTTGTGCATGACTGTTGACAAATGATATGTTCTGTTGTGTTGTTGCAGGCTACTGCGCGGCTTCAATCTCCCTACAAGTCTCCAGCAGCCATACTGTGAGTTGAAGCTGGTCAACACTGTAACAGGCAAAGAGCGGGGAACAAAGAAGTCCAGGTGCATGAAACAAGTCAACAACTTCTACATAGAGTGGAACGAGAGCTTTGAGTGGTTCAATGTCAGTGTCGATGAAGTGATGAGCATAAAGGTCAGTGTTGCTAAGCGTTTCATGTCATTGGCGCACTGTCTTCAATAGGCGAAATGTTGGCCATACCCCAAGGCGATGCTTGCGAGAACATGAGTTTTTTTGCACCATGGCAATGATAAGATGACCTTCATAAGTTTCGGCATGGTGTGTGCTGGATAATTTATGATTTTTTGCTGGATCGGTGCTGAAAGGAGCTGTAACCTTGCTTGGAAAACCCACAAGGTCATGGCAATTAAAGTTGCTAAATTGCACCTCTTGTTTAGTGCATGTGTTAATTCAGTTTTAAGAACCAATTCTCTTGCGCAGACATCGGTCCTTTCATGCCTTGTGAGCAAGATCTATTTGCCTTTTTTTAGACTGGTAATTGAAAGAGCCACTACCAGCATTGTGATGGCAGTGCTGTAAACAACTGTACTGGCCAAGGAACTGCATCATGCATTTACTATCAGGGAACTGGCTTGAATACCAAGATATTGACACGTTGGCTTGCAAAGACATTGGCAATCCCCATAGTAGTCTTGTTTATTTGGCCATCAGAAGATTTGGTCAATCTATCAGGCAGAAGCTTGTTTTTCTCAAATCCTCTATTAATGCATATGTCAAGAATACTGAAATTCAGTGCCTGCTACCGTGGGGAGGAAAAGGCAGGCCCTGTTCAAAGGCTGTGAGTGCTGGTGCCTGACAAGATTTGATGTGGGCTCCCTTGTCCAGGTGTTTGACATCGGCAAGTACAAGGTGAGACAGGTGGGGTGCTCCGAGATCCGGATGTCAGACGTAGCGGCTGCAAGGGATCCCACACATACCGAGATGCTCATAGAGACCCTCACGCTTGAGGAGGGCAAGGGGAGGGGTCGAGGTGGAGGAAAGGGGGACCTGGAGGTTGAGCTTGACTGGGTGCCGCTGGACCACAACCCCACCAAGGCCAGCTGCTACAGCTCCAATTCCGGGCGAAGTGCACGCTCAAGGGAGCTGGGCCACACGCCATTGAAGCGGGTGACCCTGCCTCGGGGCTGCCTCCATGTTCGCCTGCTGTGGGCCCACAACCTACAAAACGTGGACTGGATCGGCAAAAGTGATCCTTATGTCGTGATGAGGGTGAGTTTCACAGGGGGCCACTGTGCTGGACAATGGGAATCTTGCAGGTGAAGAAGGCAGCATGCTTTCAGGTGTTGACGCTCGGTGGATTCCGATGGACAGCAGCAGCCACTCGTTCTTGCACAATGCAATTTCAATTCACAAGCACAAGCACACAGGTCGCCGCCATGTGTGTGTTTTCGTTCAGGGTCGAAAGCGCACCTAGGGCATCCCTTTAATGTGTTTTGTTTGGGGCTGAATATTGCCTTATATTAGAGAGTTGGCAAGTGCAGATGCCCAGCCCCCAGTGGGAACAGAAACTCTTCAGTAACTCAATTTAGTTCAGCAGGTATTTTGACTTGTTTCTCCTCTTGTAGGTGAATGCGAACCAGCGGCAGTCATCTGTGATATACAACGACCTGAACCCCGTATGGAAGGAGGAGTTCAAGTGGCGCAGTGTGAAGGGCACAGATGTGTTGGCGTTAGACATACTAGACAGGGGGACAATCTCCGACACTGTGATCGCACGATGCGACATCCAAATCAGTGTGGCAGCCAACCATCCAGGTACTGCAGCTCTCGTCTGGCAGGGTGGCGAAAGTTGGAATCCGGTTGCTTGACTGTCACCACAGACCTCAAATTGAAGTGTTTTGTTTGTTCGCTAGATATCATGTTTTGGCATAATTTTGCACCAGCATTTGGCCAAGCCTTATGAAATGCGGGCAGGTTGGAAACGGGAAACGTGTTCATGGCTTCTGCCTACTGTTTGGTGCACACTGCCTTGTGCTGTTGCTTAAGTGTGATCGCAGTATCCCACTTGACTCTGAGCAGAAAGTCCTACACATTGGGCTGCATGACATGTTGCCCATGTTGCGCGTGGCTTTGTAGCGGGCAGCCAGTTCCTCACGCAATCCACGCAACACTCAAGCTTGTAGATTTGACTGGGAAGTAGGGTTGAAAGGGTGCTACAGTAAGGGCGCCCGAAGCTCACCAGGTTACCTGCAAGCAACACAAATTGTGTTTCTCAGCATTCATTCACAGTCTTTGTGACCACCCTTGTGGCAGCCACAGAAAGGCCACAGCACCCTTCATGAGTCGATGACTTGGAAGCAGAGCTATCTCCATGCTTCCTGTGCCTGGGCCTCAGTTGTGCTGCATTGTTGACGCACTGCAGGCAATCCGAACTGGCTGTGTTTTATACTTGTCATGACATACGCTTGCTGTTGTTCCGGTGAGCTGTGTCTGGGGCTGTATTTTCTGCCCCAATGTTGAAATAACGTTGCTTGTGGCAGGTGAGGTCAAGAAGCTGACGGAGATCTTGCTCTCCTCGGACATGACTAAACAAGCTGGTGGAACGATCACAGTGCAGATGCACTTCCAGCCAGTGAGCTCTTCGGGCGACCTTACCGATAGGAGCGGTCCAGCGTGGCCAGAACTCGCCCCAGACGAGTGGTGACACAGGGGAAAAGATCAGCGTTAGGAAGTTTTCAGTTTCCAGGGATCCAGTAGCTTAGGAGGGGTATCCATTGCAATATATGTGGAGTCATATTGGGAGCTGTCGTCTTCCCAACAAATGAGGACTTGAGGAAGCACATAGAGATGGTGTTTGCTGTGCAATTGGTGAAGAGTAGGCGGTCGGTTCATCACCTTCAGGTGGTGATAAGCAGAGTGGGCACAGGGACACAGCACTAATATAGAGCCACCTGGTTTGGGGGCAGAAGCCCCAACCGGGGCGTGCCACGATTGAGCTTGCAAGCTGATGCAGTAGTTGCAGAAATGAACATTGTTGCAGAGTTTAGCCATTGTGTCCTATTTCTCATTGTTGATTGATCAAGTGGCTGGTAGATGGGGGTATTCGATTCCAGAGCGAATGTTGTATTCAGAATGACTTCTTGCAGTTTGTATTCTGCAATTTAAGTGTATTGGGGGAATTTTGTACGCGCGAATTTGGTGCGACGCCGTTGGAACATGACGCCAGACTTCCGCCAGCCTTGGCATTTGTCAGAGTCCAGTTGGGCTCCAGTCCAACGAGGAGGGAGCAAGAGTCTTTCTGCATGCCAGCCCCAAGCGCATTCCATTGTTGGCCAGTAACCACAGAGATGGCAGGGCTGCAGGACAACGCCAGGGAAACTGCAATGTGATCTGGATGTTGACCCATGTGGCTTCTGTGTCTGGGAGGCAGGAGCAGTTTCCTTGGCGACATTTTTGGCCGATGGCCCTGCGGTGTGCACATTGGATCGCGTTGATGGAGGGCCGGAGAGTTGCTGGGCAAACGGATGTGTATGGGATTGGGTCGATGGCAGGGCAGCATGTGAGACCACACCCCTTGAGCATTTTCCCGGTTCTGGGACTCTCTGCTGCGGTTGTAATTCAAACTGGACGCAAACAGGTGTGGATTGCATGGTGCCATTCATCTCTTCCTCCATGCGCGTCATGCCGCAATAAATGCGGGTGTAAGCGACTGATCCACACGTTTTTGCGCAAGCACGGCCTGGTTCAACACCTGACGGATGTCGACACTCTGTGCATTGGATGCGGCGGGCACCGGTGCGCCAGAAGGAGACTCGTTGGCCAAAAGGGCTCTCAAGGAACAAGAATGCCCAACACCATGCCCCTGGTCGGGTGGCTTGGCAGCCATGCGAGACGTCCTGCTGGAGGTGCCAGCGACAACTTTCGATGGGATGTGTTGTGATGGAGCAAAGGCCCGCGTTCAAGCCGCTAGCCGTCAAGCGCGAAAACACCTGGGCCATCTGGTCCTCCGTGGCTGCAAAAGGGCGATGTTAAATTATGGTATAGTCACCATGGTGACTAATGTGTGGATGATGTGGACAACAAATTGGCATTGCTGCACAAGTGAAAAAACAACAATATGATGCATACGGTGACTAACTCCCCGTTGAGGCAAAACTTAGGGTGTGCACAACAACACAAAGGATCAATTGATGTTTAAGATGATTTGACAAAAGTTTTGATGAGTTAGATGGCTTAGATGAATGAATTGGGCGGTGAAAACATGATCATTGAATTGCTTGTGCGATTCTGATGAATTTGGATATGCTATGGTTAAATGACAATCATTTAAGTCATTAAACTCATTTGAATCATTTAGGATAATGATCAATCATCTATTTTTATCAACATAGGTGAATGCGGCATGTCATGGGCTCACACACGCTGTAATATAGGTGTAAACTTGGTGGCACTGGTCGTTGGGCGCGGTGTGCTATGTGCATTACATAAGGGTGGTGGCAATAGTGTGATGGGTGATGTTGAGCGTGTCACCGTCCTGCCACCCTTGGCAGCGTGTGTGAGGGCTGTGGGATGCTGTGGGCGCCGTGAGAGTTGTGTGGAAAGTGCAATAGAGTGTAAAGTATGCCGGTGGCTGGTGCTGAGCATGGGATAAAGGAAAATGGTGATGGCATAATGGGATATTGTCACTAGGAGATGCATATAGTGAATTCTGGCGAGTGTGGTGGATTATGACGGGAAGGGGGAATGTTATAGGTGCAATATGTGAGTTCGTAGTGTGGTAGGGCGTTGGAACAGGGTAGTTCAATAGGAAGTGTATTTAGAAGGAAATGGTGTAAGGGAAAGTTCTATGGGATAAGACATGGGGTATTGTAGTGTAAGGGGCGTTGTGATAGTGTTAGGGAGTGGTGTTATGGGGCAGAGGCGGAGGATAAAAGGAGGGGCCGCTGGCCCATTTGAGAATAGTGCCAATCGCCCGCACCCCCTCGTTCTTGGGCCCGGGGGCCCAATAGGGCCCCTCTCCTAAAAGACCTTAAGTATTGGAGCACCAAGAAGGAATCCGAATTCGGACTGGGGCCCCATGAGCAAATGTGTTCAGGTGAGGGTGGAGATTCATCTGGCGGATTCGGAGAATATTCTGAAGTGATCCAGTGTGGATAAGGAGGATCAAAGGGATCAAGAATTGAATTGCCGGATGATGGATCTTTAGATTCAAAGCAAGGTGTGGTGCAAAGGGCAACATTGCATTTGGCAAGAGGTGGAAAAGTGGTAGCAAGTGTTGTGTGGGTTTCTCAAGTCATGTGTGATAGTTGGATATGTTGGGTTGGAAGGGTGATACATGTGGACTGAGCATTTGAAAGTGAAGTGATGTTGCTCAATCAAGATTGATTTCTTGACGATGTTGATTATGATTGATCAACAATTTAAGCAATGGGTTATTTGTTCAGTTCAATATGATGGTCCCAAACTCTCAAAGCAACGCAAGTTTCAATGGAGCGAAGATTAAGTTCAGCCTGTGATCTATGGGTCCTTCGGGGCGATCACTAAGGGGCATGTACTTTAACAGCGAGAAGACCAACACCACAAGACGCCCACGGGGCGCGGACCGCTGAAGCTCAAGTCCTTGACAGCCAGGTGGCGCGCGCGTCTAAGAACAACACAGGGTGACTGTTTCCTTCGTCAGTGAGGCCGAGTCGATAGTTCGCATCAGTGGCCATTCGGTAATCAAAGGAGCAGAGCACGTTGCTTGCTGCGTGCAATCATGGGGCCTGTCGTCTTGTCTACATGTGTTTGGCCTGTGCGCTGACGCCACTTAAAAACAGCAAAGCATGCAGAACAATGCCGTTACGGCAGAGTTCAAACGGCGAATGTTCGAGTTTAGTTGCATGTCTGCAAGAAGGAAACGCCACAGCCTTGAGCGCTCCACCCTAGTTATGTCGCCGGCGGTCTTGCACGCGAATTCTTGTGAAGCCACCGTCTGGTGCAGGAAGGTTTCAACTCCGAAGGGTACGACGTCCTGGACTGGACAGAACTCAAAGCCATGGGTTGCCGCGAAGTTCATCAAGCGACTACAGGAGCCCCGACGCCTGCTCCCAAATCTGTGGTCCCTCAAAATGAGAGGAGACACATTGCAACGGAACGAAGAGCGCATGCTGGAGTTGATTTTATCACAAGTTAGCAATACATGGAGGCCACAACAAACACAGTGTGGCTTGTCCATAAGAGCCTTCGATGCCCTGGCGAAAATGGATCTATATCAGGAGGGGGGGGATCTCTTGATGCATGGAGGTTGGCAAGGCACTCCGCATTCGGTGCACGTCCACGAGGCCATGTCGCTCATGCCCCATCGGCCATGATCCTCAAGCATCAAAAAGAAATCGACAGATCGCCGGTTCATGCGTCAGGGTTTCAGCGCAGTCCGCACACTTTTTCCCGAAGCCGGGAGTCGTCCAGAACGCGTTGGCACACTCCCAGCAGAACTGGACGTGGTTGCAAGGGACCAGCAGGGCGCGGCACCTCAGACGCATCTGCTCAAATCTTGGATCACTGATCATGGAGTACGGTGGTGGGTCGCCAAACTCCTTTTTGCACCAACGACAAGAACGGAACCTCTCCAGGCCGTCTTTCTCCTTCAAGTTCAAGATGATTCCCATGCTCTTGAATGTATTCTCATCTTCCTGCAATCGCGCCTGGGCAGCCTGTACACAGCACGGCACGGCACCATGCTCAGCACAGCGCCATCGCAGATGCCAGCCACCAAGGTATGGCACTTGGCGCTGGTGTTGGGAATCCAGAGCTCCAAACACGCCGTTTGTGGGATGCTGCTGTGTCGATAAAGCCACAGCACGTACTATCCAGAATTCCAGAGAGTTCACGGCCATCTGCAAGAAACTGCATTATTGGTAAACACAGCTACTGTTGATTCTCCAGTGCTGGTACTATGGGTTCTAGCGTACTGAGTTAGGACTTCTCACGTACGCAGATACACACTGAAAGAAAGGTTCCACACGAATTGCTGCACTGGCTTCGCACAAGCTTTGAAGTGCGAGAGAACACAGTTCACATACACCGCGCAAGGCATCCAACAGTGTGGCACGAAAACTCAGGCAAACTCAGTTTGGACGATCTTCTGATCAGAACCGCTGATACAATGCAGGGCCGGCCAACAGAGACGATGATGAGCAGAGTGTTGACAAGGAACAGCCACACTCTGGGTGTGGGGCTAGGCAGGGGGAGAACGATGATCAAATGTGACAAGTTGCAACATCTGTTCTGCACCGTATTTTCTGCAGGAGGGGCTTTGGCTCAGGAACCACAATCAGCACGCTCGAACGCACAAGCGATCCAGGCTCGATGGCTTCAGGGTTCTCAGCTTCCTTTTCCAGCTGCTTCAATGCCTTCCGCGCCTTGGCAGTCTGTTCACTGTATTCCCTGTTCTTTTCGATTGCCTTCTGGACCTTTCTCTGACTCTCTTTGGCATCGTGAGCCAGCTCCTTGCGCTTTGCTTCTATATCCCTCTTGAACAGCGCGTTAGCCTTGATCTTCTCTCCATACATGTCACAGAGCTGTCCATGAGCCAAACGCTTTGGTCAGGAAACACAAAACCAGCAGCTGCACCTTCCCTCTCTCCTGCCCCCAACGACATTGCCAGGACATCACACTACAGTCCTTTCAGGAAGTGGCTCTGAAGACACAGATCATCCCATGACCGCCCAGCATTATTGTTCAGTGAGCACTGTTCAGCCCCCTGTTGGCATCCAAACCTCTGGGCTGGTACCCATGAACCGGTGTTGGCATCCATCCACAAGCTCTGGAACAGGCTTGCTGCATATATCTTGACCAAATGGACGCCACAGCGGTGTCAGCAGCAACCTTGGTTGCAAACACGTGTAACCCTTTAAAGTGCAGCAACTGCTGTAGAATACAGGGCCTGTGGCACAAGCGCTATGCATGCTTGACGGCTGCATGCATTGCAGTTTTAGCCCACAACAATTGTTGGGAAAGTGGTTGTTCGTTTGCCAAGCAGCCTCAGGCGGGGTGAAAATGCCTGAGGGGCAGGTTGGAAGTGTGGTGCTGTGTGTATCCAAAACGTGCCAGCATCGCACAAGAATGAGGGGGGGGGGCGGGGTCTGAGACTGTGGTAGGTTGGGAGGTGTTGGGCAGCTCTACACCTCATTTCACTTGGGCGAATGGGGGGATGGATTTCAAGACGCAAGGAGCTGCGGCTGTGGTTAGTGAACAGCATTGGCCGCCCCACTCACCAGTGTTGTGAGGGCCAGCACTTGCTGCTTTGCACAATGCACTTTTTGCTATTTTGCCTCATTTCGGCATTTCCTAGCCTAATTTCGAGATTTTCTCCATATACTTCTTGGATCAGTGCTCCACACCATGTTAGTATCCATGATGGTTGTCCATTTCCAGTGCTTTGCATGGGGCCAGATACCGACACCAGGTAGTCAGAGTATATGCATCCAGTACATACATACGACAAGAGCAGAATTTGGAATCAGAAACACATCATGCACATGAAACACACTACCATTTATATTCGCAAGTGACCTTTCTGGGGTCACCACCCCACTCAGCCAGCACAATCGCCGGACACATGCCATGCAACAGTCATCGCCAGTAATTGCATCATGCTTAAACATAAAACTTGTCCCACATTTGTTCATGGCACTGACTGTACAGAGCAATGGTCGCTTGCCTGGCACGTAGACCACAAGAGTCAGATGCATCTGATCAGATCGCCAGTTGGACCAAGCTGAAATGCTGATCAGTGTCATTCCTACCTTTCCCATTTCCTCCTTCTCCCCTCTCAGTTTCTTCAGCTCCTTTTGCTGCTGTACCAACTGTGACAATGTCTCCTGTGTCATTTGCTTTGTCTGGGAGGTTCGCATCACCTTGATGTGCACACAACCATATAAACATTGACAAGCAGCCCTGATCATGCTCAAGCACACACTGGGTGTTCAAGCAACAGAATGCATGAAATATTGATGATTATCTTCCACTGTCAACATAACCTCGTGTTTCAGTTCGCTATGGCATTGAGGCAGGACAGTGATATCAGGGTTAGAATCGGTCATGGGCACAGCAAAAAATAGAAGAACCCTGTCCATACCGATTCACAAAGCATGCATGACCATCCACGCGCAGGGCAGCATCCTAGGACCAAAATTCCAGCCATGAGCTGCTCGAGCAGTTCGTGCAACGCCAAACTCACCAAACCAAGATAACAACAATACACTAAGATTGTTGCCTCCATGACAGGCCAATTCACAAGCACCATCGTCTGAGGCTCACCGCCCTCTCTATTTCAAGTTCCATTCTCCCCAGATCCTCCATCAGTTTATGCATCTTCTTGTGTTCGTTCTCCGTTGAACTCTGCGACTTGTTAAACAGCTGCTCATTCGTTTTTAATTGGTCTTCAAGCTCCAATTGCATTTCTTCTGCCCGCCGTCGGTTCTCATCCAGCACTTCCATCATTGTTGCCACCGTCTTCTCTTTCAATCTGGCCCTTCTCTCCATTTGGTACAGGTTTTCACTTTGCTCCTGATCCCTTCTCCGTATCTGCTGTTCAGGGCCATACACAGAGGCATGATACGCCACTTTCTTCCAGGGCACATTATGCCTGAAGTGAAACCACACAGCGATTGTGATGAAATTTGGTCCTGTGCTGAGTGAGTGAGGAAAGGGCATGCCTTCTTTTCTAACATCGATAAATAAACTTGCAACATGAACATCAAATTGCAAATACAGCATCAATGCATTTGATGCTACAATAACTCTGGCCATTAAGCTTTTGAATGGACTGGATGCATTTCAAATCATCTTTGTTAGCCTGAGAAAGATTTTCAAACGATTGTGCATGGGAGCACACACCAGATGCAAGAGACGTTGACGCTACAGATGCTGAATATAGATCCATAAACAAAGTCGGTATTGAGGCAACAATGACATTCTTTGCTGCAATGCGCATGCACCAACATCATCTAAGCAGCAATGGCCATGATGATGGTGTCAGTAGCGATTTATTGAGTGTCAGAATTCATGGCTAGTGAGCATACATGGCAATAGTGGCATTAATGGTGAGGGGGCGTTGATGCACAAGCACACATGCTTGACACAAAAATGACTGGCAGTGCATCAACAAATGCATTGTGGCAATGATCATCTATAGTCCCTCAATACTGTCCTTGTTTCCAATGCAGTCAATGAACTCTCAGTACAGCAGGCAGGAAAGCTGATCTGCACATGACAGCCAGATCGCAACTTGAATAGCCATCAACAGCTTGGAGCAACAGCTAGGCACTGTGTTGGCTCCACAAAGGTCATGCAGGTTGCATCTGCTACTGAAGGAAGACAGACAGAGGGAGGAGTTGTGGTACACCAGAAGTTGGGAAGCATATGATAATTAGCTGTGCAGAGCAGTGGGCAGACCTGCTTCGATGTAGGTCCAGGATAATTATGACAGCTGGAACATTGGCACAACAGCAAGCACAGCATGCAATATAAGGGTGTAGACATGCACATGCATGTGAAGACATATACTTCGCGAGAAGTACATATCTGGGTCAAGATCCCGTGGGTGGCAAGAGATGACTTTCACAACATCTTATCCTATGCGCATAATTTCTTGGCTCTGCTGCAAGTGGCTACAGCTGTGGCGCTTGGCGCTGTCCAGAAACCCAAGCTCACAAAGTGAGTAAAATGTGGCCTTTGGTACTGTTGCGTGTTCTGAAATGAATGTAGCCTGTGACAATTCAAAACGCTCTTGCACCAAGATCAGTTTCCTTCAGAATTGACCAATGATCCCACAGAATTATCCTGGTTCACTGCCTTTGAGCACATCAACGCTGCCTGGAGGCCACAAAAAAACACTAGCACTAACACTGTCCCATCGGCGGTGCATGCTTTGGCAAACGGCAGATATTTGGCAAATACAAGCTCCAGATATCCGCACAGTCACAGGAATCTTCACAAAGCAAAAGGGGCTCCATTTCCAGCAACCCACCTGAAGGGATCCAATGCCTCCATGTCAGAGACAGTGGCCTCATAAACATACCATATGTTCCCCCGCGGACCACACTTGGCCTCTTCCCAATGTATCCGTCCGCGCTGCTGGTTCCTGAAGTGCACACAGTAGACCTCACTGCAGTTGTCCAACGCCAAAACATCACATTATCGCTATCAGGGGCGACTCAGAGTAATTTGTGCAAAGGACACAACCACCAACCCAAGTTATTCACAACTACAATGCAGAGAGAAAACGAAGCACACTGTGTAACTTCCTCTGTTGCAAACAAGAAACTTCCCAGGACAGCCTTGTATGGGAAAGCCAGCACGTTGTTATGCTTTGACATGTCCAACCAGCAAGGATTAATGTGGCCAAGACCTGCCTGAAAAGGACATCTGCTTCCTCCCGATGTCTCCGATCTGTCAGGACTGCAAATGCCACTGCTGTGCCATGATCAGTAATCAGCTGGTTGCTGTCCCTGTGATCAGCACGTGTGGCCCTACTGTTAACAACATCGCAAAGTACAAAGAGCCACAGCCATGGCACCACCTGAACAGCAAGCCATAGAACATAATGAAAAGTTGCCCGGGAGCACTTTCCTGCTTTCCCAGGAGCACTTTCCTGCAGTTGGTAGGGGACAGAGGAGGGGATACTCTAAATGCATCAGCTAATTTTCCAAGCCAAGAATGGCACCATGACAAAGCCGCCCATTCTTGGGTGCATGTGGATTCAGATGCCATCCAACAACGTGGAGAATAGGGTAAGGTAGACAAGGGCCAAAGATCACAAACAACAGATGCTCAGCTGAAACTCCCTTACCTGTCAACAAAGACAGCAAAGTTGTAGATGGGATGCTCAAATCCCAGTCCAAAGAGCATGTCCTTGAACTTCTCTGAGAGTGTGCCCAGAGTATGAGGCTGCACATCATTCTCTTGTATATTTGACACAATCAAGATGTACGGATCCACAGTGTCCCCCATATTCTCATCGTGGTGCTGCACCAAACGCACAATACCATACTGAAGTGTGAACAACATCTCAGACAAGTCCACAGACACAACAAATCAGAGGAATTGTTCCTTTTTCGACTTCGCTTCATGCTCGATTCCCTGCACCAATCAAACATCGGTGAATTGTCTACAAGCAGCTCATAGCTTTTTCCTTTCCTCCTTTTCCATTCTTTCTTTGAGTTCACCTTGACACTACCAGTTTGGGAGATGAATCTAAAAGTGCAGGACACAATCAAAGATATGCAGGCAGGAGCATGTTATAGAGAAATGGTTGAATCCAGTGTTGACACTACATGTAGTCTGAACAACACTAACTGCGGAACGCATGGGACAAGCCAACAACAAACTTTGGGAAAGAATTCAATTACCCTCCATTCAAATTAAAAGAAAAAGAATCAATGGTAACACATCTAGACCCTTGTCTTCCAAGTCCCCCAGCCCAGCCTGCAGTGCTCTATTTTCCCTGGGCGATGTTGCTGTATCATACTCTTAATCTATCTGTAGGTCCTTTCATTGCCTTGCGTTACCTGGAGGTGGCAAAGTGATGAACATCTTGGGGCAGAAACAGACAACAGCAGTCATAACAACAACATCAAGTTCCATGTACTTTGGTTGCTGACCTGGCAGGACCCCCCCTTGCCCTGAAGTTCTCTTTTTTCTTACATGAGACTGAGCATTCTTTTGGATTCAAACACATTTGGGGCTTGAACTCTCTTGCTAGGTGGCACACCTGTTATATGGCCGGGGAGGCACCTGGACATTGAAATGTGATGTACTGTTTTGGAATCATAAAAGAAAACAGCAACAACTTCATCAACAGCAACAGCAATTATCTCTATTCTTTCCAATTTCCCCCCAACCCATGCCACACACACACACACACCTACGCACTCACACCTGGGAAGTTCTGAACTTCTCTTCGTTGCATTGTGCATTCATTCTCATTTGAACAATCTGTGGGCCGTGCATCGCGCTAGCACTTTCTTGTCAGGTGTTACAAGGCCAACATCTTGTCTGTTTGGACAAGGGTGGCTCATGCACTGTTCGCTGTGATTCGACACTTTGCAATCGAACAACAACAACGACCTCACACGTTGGTTTTGGCTCTTTCTCACTTGAACAGCCACAGCAGATGCAAGGTAGTCAGCTGGACTTGTTGGCTGCAACTCGCAGTGCAAGAAACGGATTGACTGGCAGGTTATCTGCCTGGCTGACTTGACTAATTGAGTGACCGATGGTGCAAACACAGTTTGGCAAGATCATCTCTGCACAACACCAAGCTACATGGAATGGCTTTATTGGTGGGCCCAGGTACAGGTTCCAGCCCTACCTTGCCAAAACAAGGTTGGTCCTTTATTCAAAAGGCAAGAGCAGGGATGCTTGCATGACCTATTCCAGAGACACCCTATCTTCCACATGTGCTGCACATAATGACATGCAGGTGCAGATAGCCAGCAAGCAGAACAGCACTGACGGTTCGTCCAGCTGGGCTGCTGTGTGAAGTGCAAACTGCTACAGATGGTGGACACATGTAGTCATGAAGAAAGGGCAATGACAGGCTAATAAAGGTAAGGACACACAAAAATCATTCTTCTTCAGTTGCTTGGTTGGCACGCGTGAACAACTCTGTTGGGAGCATTCTTTGGGTATGGTTCACGTCATACACTGCCTGAGAGGTGCAAGGTGCAATTGCAGGATTCTGTGCCACCAATTTGTAATTGTAACATTAGAAATAAAAATAAGGATCACTGCTGAGAAATGAAATGCGCATGCACATACAGACCTCATCGAGCCTTGAAGCCATCCCAGTGCCATCCCTGACACGTTCAGCAACTGCAGTCCCATCTGGAAGGTCCACCGATCGGCCATTTCTTTGAAATTCCTCCCTCAATAGCTGCCCCAAACACTTATGCTGCTTCATGGCCTGACAAAACACAATCTTGTTAGTATGCACAATTTGCAGTTTTCACTGTGCCAGTCAGAGGCAAACAGTTTAAGCGACACTACTCTGCCATGTTAGTGACAAAATGCAATCAATCACACATTCCATCTGCACCACGGCCAGTATATGCAGCAAATACTGGCATAAGTATTGCAGTGCATTCTTACACAGGCCATGTTCTTTGCAGCAAAAGGGATTGACGTTCTACTTGTTGTGGGTGTGACTTGGGGCTGAACATGGAGCAAGCTGCAAAAGATGCAGGATGTCAGAAGGAATGTCAACATCATCCCTGGAGCTCCTTTCCATCATGCGGACAACTACATGCCTTTCAAGTGACCTGCACGTTGCACTGGCAGGAGACTCAATGAACAAGCGGCACAGCACGGCTAATTGTGCAGACAGCAACAAAGTTCAGAAAAGCCATACCCTTGCCACAAAGTCATTTCTAGAAAAAACACAAGACACTTTCCGTTTCGCAGTGCAGTGGGAGCTACCATCAGCATCACAGCAAATGAATGAAAGCATGCAGGCAGTGAAGGATGGTTAGACAAGCAAACGCAACTGCTCACCCATTTATCCCGTCTCTTGTCACAAAAGTTGTACAACACTTTGTATCATTTGCTGATAACACATCAAGCAATGTTCAGTCCACACCTTTGCAGTCTCGCCAAAATTTTCAGCATGCTGTATTAACGCCTTCAGGTCATCAACCCGCTTTCTCTTATTCCCTCCTCGGCAAAGGAAGCAGAACACACCTGATGCCCATCCTGTTTTCAACTTATCCTCAAGCTGTGCCTGTAATGCCCACCCAGAGACATAATGGTTGGGATGATGTGTACAGTTGACAAGGTCAATAGGGATGTCACGGTCATGTTCAATCCACCTGTGCTGAATCATTCACCAGCAATGCTGTGCTTCCAAAACTAGCATTTCAAGCCCATTTATGTACAACAGCCCATTTATGGCCAACTTATATACAGCATTTACTTTTTCTGTCCAAGATTAATTATCGTCTATTTGAATGACGAAATTCTTACAAGGGCGTCCTCAAAATTACAAAACAAGTTTAAAATCGGAAAAATTGGGTTCCACAACCCTTGCCTACCAATATTCAAGAAGAACAAGTGAGACACGACCACTTGAACATTAGGCAAAATGTAGATTTTGGTCACTTTTTTCCCCAAATATCAAGGTTTACTAGATACAAAGACCGTTGATACAAAGTACTGCCAAATCCTCCATACTTAATGTATTGACTTTAAACTTTGACAGTATACTCCAAACTTACTCACAATTTGGGTGAACTTCCAACGAAAACTGGTGTAAGTACGATGGAGAAACGCCCCAAAGTCATAGAAGACAATTGATATTGGACGGAGGAAGTTTATGTTTATACAGAACTAGCATTCGAAGCCCATTTCTCTGTGGTGCAGGGAATCCACTTCACAGCTGTACGTCATGGAGGGGCACTACGAGGTGTAGAGCACAATACAAGCGATGCTTCAGGGCAGTTGTCTTGTCTGATCACTTATTATCTCTGCCAAATTCCTCTTTAACTCGGTGCCACAATATGTGACAGTCTGTCCCTGGCACTGCAAATTTTCCAAGTTCTCTCAAGTGTTTCTCCAGCGTCTAAAGAGGCTGCAGGTTGGCCAAGTTGGACGGTGTTCGCCCCAGGAGTCTGTCGCCGATGCATTACGCCATTTTCAGAGCTCTGAATGCGCACACACTTTCCACAGACCTGTCGACCGCAATTGTTCGCCAATCTGCGCATCAGCGTCCCCCGCTCGTCTCCCTTTCACGATGCAAAGCATGCTTTCACGAATGACAAATTCTCCAAAACCGGGCCTGGCCAGATCCTCTGCCAAGGCCGCTGACCAGCCCCCTTCCAGCCCAAACTCTCGCCCAGCAGTGCCCGGGGCCGCGCCTGACAACCTCCCAACGCGACCTCCCCCCCCCCCCACACACACACGCGAGCAATACAACCCACCCTGATTTCCGCCTCCATCTCCTTCTCCTCCTCGTGGGCCGTGCGCGCCCGCGCCGGCCTGGCGCCGCCAACGAACCCCATCTCCGAGTCAGAGCTGTCATCGTCTCTGTCCGAATCTTCCTCCGTGGTGGGCTCTTCCCCAATGTCGCTGTCGTCGTCCATTTCGACGGCGCCCTTCACTCGCTTGTGGCGCCAATGCGGGGCGCAGAACCGGGAGCTTTTTGTGCCAAGCGTCGGCGAGCACTTCCGGCAGTGTGGCGCGCTTCGGGCGCGAGAGGTCGCGAAAGGCAACGCTCTGCCAACTGGGTCAACCGGTTGGCCCGTTGCCCAGCTGATGGTCCTGCTGTTCGGGGCGAAGGTTTCCGGGGGACTGGAGGACTGGACACCGTGCTTAAGTACATGTTGGTGCGGAGGGACCGAGGCTCGAGTCGGGTGCGTCCGCCGTGTACATGTGTCGGTACACCCATTCCCAGTTCCACAAAGCCAGCTCGGATAGTGGTGTGCAAGGGTGAGCACGATCATGCACATGCAATGTCAGTGCTCAACATGGATCCTGCCTGGGTCATCATACCGCCTGGTACAAGTATGTCTTTTGAGTAGACGTCCGTGGATGCCATCTCCTCCACCACCAGGGGTCCGTACACCGTGGCAGCGTGCCAGCGAGGTTCGCGTGCAATTGGTGTCTCCCCAGTCCCCTTTGCACGGCCGGCCTACACGATTGCCCTTCGCCGGTGTGACAACAACTCAATGAATCCTTCGGTCGTCGAACACAGCTAGATTCAAACCCGTCAGAGTTTTCCAGTGCTGCAGGAGTTTCCGGCTCAACACAACGCACTGACATCGGCAACCCAAGAAAGTCCAATGGCTGCAGACGCTTATCATCTGTTTGACAGCCCAACCCGTGCCTTGTTGCTCGTTGCCGCCGACTCTTGTAACACACCAGGACATTGGCGTGAGTTCAACAAGTGGCGCAAGGTGTCGATGCATAAGAACTATGAGAGTTAAGGAAGTGTCGAGCTCGTTGCAAAGGCCCCCCAGGTGGCAACAGGGTCGTCCCAGAACGGGAGGCCAAGGGCACCTGTCAAGGGCGCATATTGCACCAACAGAAGCTGTTCTTGTCCAGCTCAATGGGCAACAACCACATTCTGGGCAACATCTACAGTAGGCTCCAGGCAAGGATCGATACTCAGTGCAGAATAATGCACTAAATTCGCCCCAATTTGTCGATATAGGTTTGAAGAGTGGATGGATATGACCTGGACGCGGCAGTTTAGCAAGTGGCTCGCCTCCAGGGATCGGGGAACCAACTTGGCAAGAAACACGAAGTGCATCTTCATGTACAGAAACAGAGAAGATGTCCCTTGGGGTCCCCTGCTCCTTATCGTGCTGTCAATTGCTATAACCATGATTGATCATTGCCCAGCTCCCCAAATGCCTTGCTCAATTCTACACTTGCACTTTCTGGGATATGCAAAACTTTGATCCAAAGTACCCCGAATATTGAAGCCAGACTGCAATCGATTTTGTTGGTTGTTTTTCCTGCACTGGTTTGCTGTGAACACTTGGGCGCGTACATGGGACAAACAGAAACAGTGGCATGCATGACAGAATCTCACGAAACATGCAATACAAATATATGCATAAACAAGTCTGAACGAAACCCAACTGGGCTGTTTGTCCGTCGCCCATGACAAATCCAAGGCCAGTACCATTCTGCAGTCGTATTTTTGGCAACTAACTGCGAAGGTGCTTCCCTTATAGTCGAAAACGGCTTTGCATGCCACATCTGGTTCATCTACTGCTTCTGCTCCAGTTGCAAATTCTGAAACCATTGTCTGCTGTCTTCCAGCATCTCCTCAAACTGTGTCTCTGCATGATGTCTTGCTTCAATGGCATCATCTTCCGCAGCGTCTCGCTGGTTCGCAGTCGACTCCTCCTGATCCAAGACAGCAGATCAGCTGAAGCAGCTGGTTCCTTGCTGGTCCATGGTGGGACCAATCTGCTAGGCTGTCGCTACCATGCACTTCTGGTGCTGTCTCAGTGATGCTAATCGATATTGGCATAGCATATGCTGTTTGAGAAGTGCCATTTCACACCACATTCCATATTATACCATGTGATCAGGAATAGCGTCAGGTTGCAAACCATATCACATTTTGTGTCCTGCATCTATGTGACTGCTGTGCTTCACCATATAGTCTGTTGAGGGTGTCTGTTGCAAGTCAGTCAGTGCATCAGTGCGGCCCTGACGTTGTGGTGCAGAAACACACATAGTCTCCACTCCACAGCTCTCGTTCCCGTAAGCAAAATGAAAATTGCAAAGCCATGCAAATGGGCAGAGGACACACAAAAAAACACGTCTGACAAGTAGCCAGAGGTAACCTCAGATGCAACAATTTTGACAAGTGTTTTTGGTTCAGCAAGGTCGAGCCCAGGAAGGCCAGGGCAGGACAGTTTGAGATGTCCTCACTGCTAGCAACAGCAACTGGAGCTCTATCAACAGGCTGTGACATGAATTATGATACATCGACACAATCTTGTGTGAGTAAATAGTTGCTCATTCACATGATAACCAAAAGCCATAACACGAATCTTGATGGACCATGTGCAAGGCAGAATAGCCTGTGTGAAAGTCTGCATCGCCAGTTCCAAACACTGTATAACACAGAAAAGCACACCTCCTTGGATTGTGCCGGTGGCCCAGCGATTCCATGAGCTGTCCCATCAGGTTTGCCAACTGAAGAGACACATTTTTCTAGCTCTTTCCTCACCAGCCTTCCCAGACACATGTGCTGCATCCTGATCTGCAACACAGCAAGCCATGCTACAAACAGAAAATGGTTATCAAGGTCCGTACCCATTGCTCATTATGGACTTCAGCCAAAGTCACCAGAAGTCTTGCTGGGGTCAAGTGAACATGCAATGAGCCACCCAAGACAAAAGCACAAGCCACCCAAGACAAAAGCTGGTACTGAATACACTCATCAAGTACTTTGTTACATCGTGCTCAACTGCTGTGGCACAACAAGTTGCTGACAAAAAGAAAGTCAGCTAGACAGAAGATTCTGTGCTGAATCAGCTTTTGATAAACAACAGCTGCTACAATCGAGACAACACAATGCACTGAAACAAGGACGCCAGCACGAGGTGCTGGATAGTGGCAGTTGGCACCCTTTTCTTGATGTGCCTGGAAATTGCTCAACAAAATTATGCAAAAGATTTTCCAAATAACGGCCTGATAGGAGGCCCCTTCTGCATGGCTTGCCTTCCTTTTCTTATGACGCACAGGCCACCGCTCTTGGCTACATGACTTGTGGGACTCTCACCTTGCGTGTCTCACCCCAGTTTTCCGCATGTTGTGCCAGACCCCTTAGGTCAGAGACACGTTTCCTCCTGTTCTTCTTCTGGCAGAGGAAGCAGTTGGGCTTGTTTAGCCACCACGATGTCTTCAGCTTCTCCTCCAGCTCTTTCTGCAGAAAAGCTCTCAGCTGTCAGTTGAGGGAAGCACTGACTGCTGTCGATCGCCGACAGCCACAATCCCACAAGAAGACACATGCAATCATTTCAACACAGAAAGGACAGAACCACAAAATCAGCACAGTAGAAAAATCTTGCTGTGTTTAGCTGCTGGACAACTGCAAGTGCACATCACGTTCTTCACATGTGCTGACACTGGAAGGATAGTGTTCCTGAAGCCGTGGGAAGAATGATTCACGACAGGATTCCCTGGCGAGCGGCCTTAAGCCATGTTTGAATACGGAGGCAGGGACGGGCCACCACTGGGGTCTTCAATGATCTTCAATTTGCAGAAACATGCAGCCACTCCGGATCTAATTCAGCGGGCCACGAAGCCAGGAATCTACGTGCCTTTCTGTGCGAGCCTGGGCCCTGCCATCCAAGCTCCCCGCCACCCACGACCTCCCAAAGGTGCTCAACACAACCCATCCTCAGACTCAACCCCAAACACAATCCACTCCGCCGAAACACGGCACCTTGATTTCGATCTCCATCTGTTCCGCCACCTCAGCATCCGTTGGCCCTGGGGTGGGCTCTCTGCTTTTGCTGAACCCAATCTCCGAGTCCGAGCTGCCGCCATCCCCCTCAGATTCTTCCTCCGTACTAGGCTCTTCCAGCGAGCTTTCGTCCGTGTCGCCCATGCTCGCGTCGGCCTGGAGCGATCAGCAATGAAACGCCAGACGAAGAGAATGAGGACTCGCCTGGGGTGGTTGGCCATCGGGTCCTGCCAGTTTGTGCAAGTGCCACGTCAGGGAATGCCAGATATTATTACAAACAATGCACTGGGTGCACATTTATTTCAAGAGGCTCAGATACAACACTTGTCTCAGGCTGGCGACAGTATATCGTCACCAGTCACGTTACGCAATATGATTGATTGTAATGGGTTGGGTTCGCAGAACATGATCTTCGGTCTGGTTGGAATCATCCCGTTTGTGCTTGACGGGATTAATAGATCTGGACTGCGCAAGGAAAAGGGACAAGATCAATGTGCAAATGTGGCTGCTCCTGGGAACGGGCATGTCTCAGCTCGCTGTTAGGGTGTGGCTGGGACCGCTTGCTCAAAGTTTCTGGGCATTCTACGACTCCCAAGCAGAAGACAAACGCCTCGCCCGTCTCACAATGGCCTGCGGCAGCACATCCAGTTTGGCGTTGTCTGCAACAAAGAATGGGAACGGACTGGCATTGGAAGTGGCTGGCGATAGGCACGGGGCAAATTTGCTGCACTGCACTCATCAACACGTATCCTACTTTTGTCCTCAAGGAAATTGTTGCCAACATGCGTGTTACGCCATCTCCCGGTCACCGTCATGGGGTGGTGCTGCTCCACTGCATGCAAACAATACGGCGCGGCCACAGGGTAGTGGGAAGAGAAGTGTAGCCTGCCACTGGCAGACAGAAATTTCACCAAGCAGCCAAGAGTTTCCATCAGCCTGTGCGGAGTGTGGCTTGAGTCCATGTCCAGGACAGTTGCATGCACCTCCTGGCCGCAACACGAATGGCTGCAATCATGGTCTTTTAGATTGCTTAAAAGTAGGAGAGAAGACCACAAGCTTGTTTTCCTTGCCAGTCTCTGCACCACATTTGGGGTTTCATTGTTCAGCCCAGCCCAGTTGGAAATGTGCAACACTCTTGCGCATGTCTATATCCACCGCCTCGCAAGACATCGCGAGGCACAACGCGTTTTGATTGCGATGACGACCTTTTTGATTGCAAGCTTCTGGAATGTAAGGGCTTGCGCAGTTGCGTGCAGGCTTAACCTGGCCACAAACTCTGGACACATGTGCACCTGGAGCACACAGCTGGGGACGGTTACATGACACTGCGCCGTGGCGCAACCTACTGGAATTTCGAGCAATAACAACAAGAGAAGTTTGCGGGTCGTTTGAAAACAGTGCCTTGCCACGCTGCAGTTTACCCATATGCCGTTGCCAATGCGAATCACCACCAGCAACAATTGGAGTCTCTGCGCCTCTCGTCAACCCTTATTTTTTTGTGCATTTGGCAATGCGCCTAACATTTTGCTCATACTGATAAGTGCATCTGAGTGTGTACATGAAGATGCGGAGTTTTGTAAGTAGGAATAATCTTTTCGAGGAGTTGCTGTGAAGGTGCAACTTTGATCCTATCTTGTGCGACGTAGAAACAGACCGTCACAAATGAGCTCGAAATGCCGAGGGGAATTGTATGGTTGGAGTATTTTAACTTCTTGGCCGTTTCCCGTAGACATTCGCCAACAGAATATACCTACATGAACGTCTTACTGGAGGCACAAACCTTGTGATGGCTGTATCCGATAACTTGATTTCAGTATGGAAACCAAAACATTGTCCAAAAAATAGCGCTTCCGATCGACCCCTCTGATTCCCCATCATTTTTGGGAATGACTGATCTGAGATCAGAGGTGCATCTTAGGTAATCAAAGATCATAACATATGAGTCCATGGTACAACGGAAATGCGCATGCCCTTGCAGTAGAGCCCTATATGCTCTGGAGGTGCGTTTATCATGGATATCTTGTGACACCTTTTAGGAAGCTAATGGGTTTCCTTCGTAATAAACATAATGGCACTGCATTTTAGGGTCCTATATGTTGGGACCGTTCCCAGAACTACGCAATTTAAATTTAGAAAGATTTTCAGGCGTATTGCGACTCGCCACAGCCATTTGCATACGAAGCAAGCATCACTAGGAGACCGATATGAGTGCAAAACATCGTGCATGCTGATTGCATATGGTCTCATATACGACCTATCATTGCACTCTGCGACTTCCCTCCCATTGCTGCAAAATTCCCTACAAATGCCTATGTTGAATCAAGTCCCGCTCGCTCTGTCTAGGTTCAAAGCTGCTGCCAACACACAAGCACCTGATCCCCAGGAAAATGAAACGCGGTTACGATTTAATTCGTCTGAAGTACTAACAAGAACGAGGTTGTGCCCAAATATGTGTTCACCAATGTGTTCCAACAGCCCTCGAATCAATTTCAACGAAATCAGTAATTTCAGGAGATCATTTATTGCAGATAATAATTCCGAGCTTCCCCTCGACATGTGGATTCAAATCGCTGCATTTCACATACGCTAGGAAGCATTTAAAGTCACCAAATCGTGCAAATTCATGTGCCGAGGTCTCGTCAGAGAAACGAATGGTTCATGCTGATCGAATTTGTTGACCCATCAGTTGCAACTCTGTTACACCCCTTCAGGTCAAATTTCCTCGATGCTCCTGAATGCGGCAATGCATCATTGAAAATGCGATAACAATCGCTGGAGCTCAGGTATTCAAGACTTTCTAAACCCTTCAGCCTCATAAGGCCTGCATCAGTGACCCTGAGGCACCCGCTAACATCCAATTTCTTCAATCCACGTATGGTGGCCAAGTGGCCCAGCGCTGCATCCGTGATGCAGGAACAGTCGCTGAAGGCGATGTTGGACAGTGTGCGAAGTTCTGCTAAGGATTTAGCAGCGCAATCTGTCAGCCTGCCGCAATTACTCACTCTGATGTCAGTGATCGATGTCAAAGTGCGCAGATGTTTGATGCCCGCACTCGTGATCCTTCCACAGCCCGACAAATCCAGGTGAGTGACAGTGGTAAGATGGGCCACGAACTTCAAACCCCTATCTGTTACCCGATTGCATCCATGCAAGTCGAGCGTCCTGATAGGAAAAGACTGCCTTGGAGATGATGCGCTCTCGCCTTGGGGCCCCGCGGCGTTCACCGCCACGGGATCCTTGGATCGGCGTTTTGCCAGAAACTCCAACCCCCCATCCCCAACACCTTCACAACCAGCTACACAGATCCTAGTTAAGCTTTCCAACTTCTCCAAGCGTCGCAGCCCTTCATCTGACACTTGGCGACACCGGCTCACATCCATGTCGGTGATGCGCACAAGCTTCCCTATGTGTGACAACCCGTCGTCCGTAAGCCAATGGCAGCCGCTGAAATTGACCGTGACCAGGGCTCCGAGCTCACCTATGCATCTCATGGCTTCGTTCGTGATGTTATAGCACCCTGACAGACACAGCCGCTGGAGACCCGCAGCCTTCCGCAAGAGCCACAGTCCCTCGTCCGTCAGGTGGCCACAGCGGCTGATCTTAAGAGCCGTCAGTCGCGGCAGCGCCTCCAGGTGGCCCAAGGCACTGTTGGTGGTGCCGTCGCAACAGTGACTGAAGTCTAAGCTCCGGATATTCTTGAACCCACGGGCGATGATGCGCGTCCTTTCTTCCACTGAGATGCCCCGCGTCCTCGGAGAGAGGCCTTGAATGGATTCAGACGCCCATCTCCGCCAGTGGCGGTTGACGCGCAGCGCGTTCTTTTCCAGGTGCCCGCTGCCCGCAGGGCCTTCATTTGACAAAAAAGCATCTGATGCGTTGAGGGCTTCATTCACAAGATCCAGCAAGAAGTACGGCAGGCTGCTCCAGCCGTCAAACGTGCTGCTCTCAGGGCAGTGGGCAGTTGTTGGAGCGTCGGGTTCAGGGCTGGTTTCCAACACTGTGGTGCGTGTGTCCAACGGGGCAGGCAAGCCATGCGTGGCCGGGGAACCATTGATTGTGGAATCTGCGCCGCGTTCTGACAGCATGTTGCTTTGCCCCATGGGTTTTGTCGTCAGTGTGGACTGCGAAGACGCCTGCAACATTAGCGAACACGTCGGTGCTGCTAAAGACTTGATATAGGTAATGTAATGGACAAATATAGGCAAGACTCTTTGTCGCCAATGGATCCTTGAACGATCTATCGTGCTCCACTGTGAATTTGTGACTTGCTATTCTGTTTTTCATCTGCAAATAGGGTAGACGTTGACGCAATATTGTGTCTGCACTTCCATCAATGCAGTGCCGAACGACGCTTCTGCAAATGGCCACGCGGCAATGTCAACAAAAGTTGATGCGTGTGCCAGCGTCGCATCAACCCTGACACAGTGGCTTCGCTCCTCCGTTTTTCGGTGTTGCATCAACGATACTATGCATCCAGTGTTGTATCAACGTCTACTCCTTGCCCAGAAGTTCGGCTCATTTAGAGACCTCAGTCGCTGGGCGACCACCCGGTCATTCGACAAATCGGCAACGGAGCGTTTATTGGCTGCGGTCATTATGTTGTCCTTCCGATGATGCTGTCACCCTTGCCCGCCCCGTTCGCAGTCTTCCAGGCAACGGGTGCTCCCCCCCCGTCAAAGGGCAGTGACAACTGGTGCCCGTCGCACCCTTTTGCCTCTGATACGGCTGCGATCTGGTTGCCAAAATGCCGGTTGCCGCATTATCGCTGACAGGTTCACCGCGGACCGCAACCCGCGGCGCCCGTGTGACCGCTTTCCCCCCTCCCTAAATCCAGGCCGCCACTCCATCCCCAGGGAACAAACTTAGCGGTGTTTCCCGCGCAATTCGGCAGTCCCTTCGCTCAGCTTCATGGGGCCGCGGCCTGTCGGCGCCCTCTCGGCTACGGGCCACGAGGCCGTCTGCCCAGCTGGGCAGCTAGCTGCGGATCCATCTCCGACAGTCCCTTGGCGTCAAGGCCATGGTGACAAGTAGCCCTGTCCAGAATTTGCCCAGATCGACCGGCAGCAGCGGATCAAGCACCTGGGCGCGCCGCGCGTCGGAATGCGGCCGACGGATCCCCGGTCAGGTCCGGGATGCGAGACCGT